AATCGAGGACTCAAACGATTCATTAAAAAACGCTGAATGATTCAGTTATGAAACACTGCTGTGTTGAGATGCATGACTGTTCTGCTGTGATCTTTTTAAACAATTTTAAAAAGTATTCTATTCAAAAATGTAAGTCACTTGATTTTAACTACTCGTTTATTGGATTAATAAAATCAATGTCAAATCTGCAATCGTGCTGATATTCGAGAAACAGCACTCTCTTGGTCGTCTCATGTTGATTAACTGTGCTATATCATATTATAGGGTGACCATACGTCCTCTTTTTCCCGGACATGTCCTCTTTTTTGGACCTTAAAAAATGCATCCGGCTGGGATTTCTAAATCGCCCAAAATGTCCGGGATTCAGCTTTTGCTTTCTACAGTCACCATTCATAGTGTACGTTTTTTTATTAGAGCCCTGCGAGGACTGTGTCCAGTCCCGCCCACTCCCGCAAACAGTCTAATATTGCATATAATTTTCGTGCATCAGTGGGACGCTATCCATATGCGGAGAATGTAATCTCTTTTGAATGAGCGCTCGCTGTTCACTTTCACTTTCAATTTCGCGATCACGCGCTCTGTGTAAAGGAAGATCAGATATTTGTCAATGAGCTCAGGATCTGTTGAGCAGCAAATCCTCCAGCATGGTCTGTCAGCCATCTCTCCTCTCAACCCGTGATCAGTCAAATCTGACTCCTGCAGCTCGTGTTGGATGCAGGGTTTTCAAGTCCGCATTATTTTTTTCGATGGAATTGGGCTACTTTTAAACTGTTGCCATGGCTTTGACTCCGGCAGCTCTTGTTGGATGCAGGGTTGCCAAGTCCTGAACTGTTGTCATGGGTTGATATTCCCAAGTGGGTTAAAGGTTTGAAATGTTGCATAAATTACATTTGACTGAAATGCGTGTATTGAAACATTTTGCATTCTACCTATGATAAAGGTGATACCTATGATAAAACTGTGCTAGATGTTAAGTTCTGTGAAGGACGGCCACTGGTAGGAAGCTTTTTAGCTGTGTTTATGATAACAGTGTTATATGCATAACAGTGACTGTAAAATATGTATATTAGGTATGGAAATGACATGATTTGAATGCATATTACTAATTAAAAATTAAGTTTTAATATATTTACAGTAGGAAATTTACAAAATATTAAAATTATTTTTGGCATAAAAGAAAAATCTATAATTTTGACCCATGCAATGTATTTTTGGCTATTGCTACAAATATACCCCAGCGACTTGTTTTGTGGTCCAGGGTCACATTTAAGATTGCGCTACTTTGGAAGCTTTCGGTATTACTTTAACCACCAACCAACCACACCCCAGCCCCCCACCCCGCCCGTACCCACTGTCCTCTTTTTGGAAAACTAAAATATGGTCACCCTATCATATTATAAATGTAAAAATTCTTATCATCTCGCATCGCATTATCACAGTATGTTTTATGAGTTTCTTTGTGACAAAGTGAAAGTGACGTGACATGTGGCCAAGTATGGTTACCCATCCTAAGTGCACACACACAGCAGTGAACACACACCCAGAGCAGTGGGCAGCCATTTATTCACACACACATATATTATTGAGCCTTGCTACGAGTCCGACTCTCTAACCATTAGGCCACGACTTCCCCACATTACATTTAGTTATGTCTGTGCTGTTGTGCTCATTTGTTTTGATTTCTCCACGACATTCTCTCACAAACAGACAGGCTGCGCAAGCCTCACCTGGCGCGACCTTGTTACTGTCAATACATTAGTCATTAGCAATCGTCATTTACACAATGTAATAAAATCAAAATCATTCTCGCCGAAACTGCGCAATTGCACTTCCCAATTTCTTTCCGACTTTACGAAATTTACACTCTCTGCTCTAAATTTTACTCCTCCATGTCCCAGCTATGGCAATTTCGCACCAACCTGGTTCCGCGTTTGCATCACACCAATGTACGGTTAAGACTAGAAGGGATACAGCAAAAACTACTGGGCTTGGGCACATCAATATAGCGTAATTTTTCTCACACTGTACAACAATAATTACTATTTTTGCTTTATTGTAAGGGGTAGGTTTAGAGTTGGGGTAGACGATAATAAAACACAATAGGCAGAAAATTCAATTTATTGTTAGCTTCCGGTTTTTGCTGTATCCCTTCTAGCCACAACCCCAATGTACATATTTTGCGACAGCAAATTAAAATGTTATTATCATGAAAGCTATATTCAAAATAAACTAATATTATTTAATATTAATTATGTAATATTATTTTTCTTCAGAACCATCTGAAAAACTTTTATGCCTGTAGGAATAAAATTTATTGACTTTTAATGCCAATTAAGGCCTTAATTTTTGCAAAATCCATTTAATGGCTTTTAATGCTTTTTTATTTTATTCATTTCAACATATTTAAAGATGCATATTCAGTGTAAAAAATGTTCTAATCAAACTGTGTATTGCCAGTCGTCGGTTTGATGACTGCACTGGCATTCTATGTAGCCTTGTTCCCTCGCAACAACAAAAAAGCGTCGCTCCGTTATCCTTCTCTGAAGCTGGCCTTGCTGCTGGCCTGTACACAGAACAGACCTGAGGGCGCAGCCTCATTAGTCATTAAAACCCAAGAACAACTGGGGGAAAAGAGAGAACATTTGTTCGCTGAATCAACTTCTATAAATAGCTATAACTGAAAAGGGATTTTAATGGTTGTTTACCACTGGGCTGATAATAAGAGCAGGAGAAATTGTGCGCACTGTGCTGTTCAAAGCCCGTCAGCAGACTTTGAACTAACAAACGGAGGCACATTTTGTGAGTGGCTTATGGAGCAATTAGGCTCTGCTGAGCCAGGGTCAGTCCTGTTGTCTATTACAAAAGCAAACAACCACACAGACACACCCATCATACTCACACAACACCAGCAAAACTGATAACTGACTTCTCTTCCATCTGCATATATGCAGCCTCTCTGTGCATACAAATGCAGACAAATATGTCATCTAAAGATGGCACCATCATCCAACTCCCTATTGGAAATTATTAACGTGGAAACCAATAGTTCTAGTTCACTCAAAACTGAATATTCTGTCATCATTTTCTCAGTTAGTTTCTTTTGTACAACCTGACCACTTTTTAACACTGTTCAAAAGTTTGGGGCTGATTTTTATTTATTTTTAATTTTTTGTTAGATTTTTTGGAAGAAGTCTCTTATGTTCACCAAGGCTGCATTTATTTGGTCAAAAATGCCATAAAAACAGTAATATTGTGAAGATATTATTACAATTTAAAATAACTGTTTTCTTATTTAATGCATCATAAAATGCAATTTATTCCAGTGATGACAGTTGAATTTTCAGTATCATTACTCCAGTCTTTAGTGTCACATGATCCTTCTGAAATCATTCTAATATGTTGATTTGATGCTCAAGAAACATTTCTTATTATTATCAATGCTGAAACAGTTGTGGAGACTGTAATACATTTTTTCAGGATTATTTGATGAATAGAAAGTTCAAAAGAACAGCATTTATTGGAAATAAAATATTTTGTGACATTATAAATGTCTTTACAGTCATTTTTGATCAATCTGATTCCAAACTTTTGAACAGTGTTTCAATGAAAGTGCAAGATGACCAGAGGCTGCCAAACTCCTGAAAGTTCATAAAACATACCATAAAGTCCATCTGACTCGCATGTCAGAAACAAAACATGTGAGATTTGAGTGCTGAGATGGAAGGTTTGCGTTTCTAAATTTGTGTTCCTCCCACAAAGCTACTATGGCATCAAAAATGATAGCACATAAGTTATATAGATTATTTTTATGGTAATTCTATGACCCCCTTTATTTCACTGTATGGAAAAAAACTGCCAGAACATTCAGCTTAACTTCTCCTTTTGTGCTTCACATAAAGAAGTCTTAATTTTGGAATGACTTAAGGTGAAGTAGATGATGATAGAAGTTTTATTATTGTATGTACTTCTTGAATACAATGAAGCAAACAGTCATTTTAATAGTGAAAGTTGTCTGTGCTACAAATAAAGTGATGGAAAGTATGTTAATTTAAAACATTTCACAAAGAAGAAATCAAAGAAAGAAATCAGTCTACAGTTGATTAAGTTAGCAATCAATTCAAAATTGCTATCTTAGAATCAGCTACAGCCAAGAGGCACTTACAGAGCCACAGCTAAGAGTGAGAGTTTTTTTTAAAGCAAATTTTGCACATGCTCACAGGAAGTTAACAGAGTGAGGTAAACTTCACAAGTGGAAAGCTGCAGCAACACCCTGCCTGATGAAACACAGACACATTGTGCTATCATGGAAGAGAGTGAGCCCTGGTCTGTGCCTCGCTCAAACGTTGCACTTATCTAGGAAACCAAGGAGCTTTTACAGTTTCCACTCAACGTCTGATGGGAACACAGAGTAATACTGTTCCTCTCTCAGCGGAGAGATTTGTGTAAATTGGGTGTGGATCCACTCCAGTCTTTCCTCATAGTCTTACAGACCAAGTTGACAAAAGTAATGGGATGTAATAAGACTAATAAGGCTTTTAAATGGAGACTTGCTGTCCGGTATCATGCTGGGACACACACGCATCAATCTGTAACTTGAGGACGAGCCTTTCCAGCCATTTAATGAGTGGCCACTAACTGTTAAAAACTGCTAAATAGTGACAGGAGGCAAAATGCATGAGACAGTCATTTGCCTTTGCTTTTAAAACATTTAGCAGAAGCTCTCATCCAGAGGGACTTCCAAAGTGCTTTAGCTTCACATGTGAGACTGCCATGGCCAACAGATGGCAAGCGTTTTGGAGAGTTATCTGCTAAATCCATCAATTTATCAGTGTACAAGCTATCATACAATCCGAACAAGCTAAATGTACTTCCGAAACGGGTTTGGCTTACTATCCCAAGCATTAGATTGTTCCTAGCATAAGACTACATTAACCAACTAGACTTCCTTCCTAATTTTCCTCAAGAAAATCCATGATCCTCTTGAATGTTCAGGCACTTACTGCAGCAGTGTCCTGTTGGAGGGCCTGGGTAGCGAAGCGGGCCACATGGTTGATGATGGGGGCGAAGTTGGTTGGTCCATAGAAGCGGATGTGAGGCAGGCAGTTGGAATAAGCTTGAACGATCCCTTCCACACCTGCATGCACATAAAACACCATCATAGATACTAACTTAACTTTATCTGTGGGTACTATAGAAAATGTTTGTGAGCCTCACCTGAGCAGAAAGGGTTGGTGGGGTTAAAGTTGATTGCAAACTCATGGGATACCTGGAATATAAAGAATAAAAAAGAACAATAACACATCAGTAGCTAAAAAAAAACAAACAACAACAAAAACAGGGCTAATACATATTTAATGTCACAATCGCCAGCTGGAGATTGTGACATTTAGTATATTTATGACACATACTACCGTTCAAAAGTTTGGGGTCTGGTTTGGTGCCCAAGAAATATTTCTTATCATCAATGTTGAAAACAGCTGTGCAGTTTAATTTTTTGTAGAAACTGTGATACATTTTTTTCCAGGTTTCTTTGATTTATAGGTTTATTTAAAAAAGAAATCCTTTGTGACATCATAAATGTTTTCATGGTCACTTTTGCTCCATTTAATGCATCCTTGCTAAATAAAATTATTAACTTCTTAAAAAAATCATCCTGACCCCAAACTATTGAATGGTAGTGTATATTTCATATATAAGTCACTCATTACTTACAGCACAAAGACGCCTTATTCACAAAACTCCAGAAGTGCTATGTTTCATGTTGTGCAGATATAATTTATGATGTTTGTGTACAATTTATATTGATCATGGCAGCAGTTATTCATCAAATGATAGAGAAGAACACCATAACTGGGCATAACAAGTGGCATAGATAAGTGCTAAAAGAAACGCAATGCATGCAAAGAAACTGCGCTGCATAAATAACAAGCAGCAGAGATAAGTGCTAAAAGAAACACAATGCATGGAAATAAACAGCACTAAAGGTGGGTGCAGTTCTTTCCTTGTGAAATCCCCCCCCTCAGACTTCCTTGTATTCACTCCAGTGCCATGGCAACGCAGATGGGATGACAGTTGCATAATCATTGGGATGAGTATTATTCATTTTCTTTATCTGCCTCTTTTCTGTCTTGTACTTCAAATTCTCGTTTCCATTTCACACTTCCAAAAGCTTTAGCAGCCTTTCGCATACAATTCCATTTAATTATTTCAAAGGACAACTAGTATGAGATGCTCAAAAATAAACATACAAAAATACATTTTACGTAGATACAAATGCAGACACAGTTATGGACACTTTTTCTCACCTTCCAGTCAGGTGAGAGTTGAGCCCCAAATCCAAGTGCAGGAAACATTTTGTCCCTGTGGACATGAAGTGTGAATAAGGAGGAGTGTGATTTTACCAGACACTGCTTTTGTGCCCATATGTAGACCTTTAAATTAAATTGATGTTACATACGTGTCATAGTCTTGGATGATCTGGCCTACAGCCCAGATGGCGGACAGATATTCGTTGCTGCCCATTGGGTTGATATAATGCAGAGACGACGGCTCCCTGGGGTTGCCATTGGACGCTGTGAAATCGATGCCAACCTAGAGAAACACACATTAACAATGTAATATGCTAATGCATGCCAATTGGACTGGTGTAAAAAAAAAATACAAGCAGCTGTTAGTACAATGCATTTCATAAGCTTTTTCCTCAGTTAGTGGGGCATCAAAGCTCATAGCTAAAGGCAATGTTAACACCCAGGGAGGCTGAACCGTCAAATCTGCTCAAGCTGAGATCTGATAGTTCTGTCCTATGGCAGTCAAGATCCAGGAGACATGTTCTCCAACTACGTGCTTACAACAAAACATATTTACCAATGCAGGGGGACCCTGTGTCTAACCTTCACCACACTCGCTATAGCACACCTAAACACTGGATGATCACTCCCCCCCGAGGCTGAAAACAGATTATTGGTGGAAAGGAAAAGGAAGAGGGTGGAAATGATAGGACGAGGTGAATAGGAGGTGACAGAATGAGGGTGCCCTTTATTGTAGTCGTCCTCACATTGCCTGTCATGGCCTCCGGGTGACCGAGCTGTGAAGTTTAGCGCATGAATATAAACCGAAGTGATGTCTACTATATTTTCTCTGGTGTGGTTGTTACAACTGTTTCTTTACGAGACTATCTGTCTTGCAGTAGATAAATATGCAGTCGTGGAATATACAATACACCCTTCACACTGTATTAAAGAAAGGGTTCAGCTATAAATTAAAATTCTGTCATTGTTTACTCAGCCTCCTTTCAAACTCATATAACTTTCATTTTTCTGTTGAACAAAAAAGGAGATATTTTGCTTTCTCCTTCACCATGGCACCACAAATGAATGATTTTTAATTTGTAGGTGAACTGCTTCTTTAAGAAGTACAGCTTAAAATGAGATAGCACAACTGAAGACTAAAATTTTGGTTTCTACCTCAAAATGAAATAAAATAACGAACAGACCTTGCCCAATTCTCCTCTCCAGAATTTTGCAATGTCCTTTACTACGTTGACATCTCTTCTGAATGCTGCATTCATGAATCTGTTTGCCCACTGCTGTACCCTGCACTCGACTGACTTTATAAAGATGCTGTGAGCACTTGGTAAACAGCTGCACTGAAGATGCACGAGGACAGAGAACTGAGATCACAGCTGCAGCACTGAAGAAGATACTAGAAGAAGAACTACCAGCACACTTGATCTTCTAAGAATGATGGAGTGAAAGCAGGAAAGTGAAAGTAAATGACCTTAACCATGAATCTATGCTGGAACCACATGCTGAAGAAATTGGAGACAGATGTTTCCAGTGTCTTTTAACAGCTGTCAAGCTTAAAGGGACAGTTCACCCCAAAAATTCAAACATCATTTAGTCGCTCTCACACTGTCTTATTGGTGCATTGACAAGAGAAGTAGTGATGTCAGATTCATGAACGAACCATTCTTTTGAGTCTTTTTTTTTAGTAAATCAGTTAATAAAACCTGAATGATTCAGAATGATTAATTCATGAATCAAACGGATCAATGACTTGAATGAATTATCCGGTCAAAGCAGTTAACAACTCACTGGAAGGATGAGTGAGCTAAGAAAACTCTTATGGCTTCAGAAGAGAGTCATGGTCATATGGACCACTTTTAGGATACTTTTATGATTAATTGGCTTCCTTTTTGAAGCTTAAAATGACCAGTCCCTGTTTATTGTAACTGAATGGAAAAGAGCATGGACAACGGTCTTTAAAATTTCTCCTTTTGTTTTTTTTTTGCAAAAGATAGAATATCAAACAGGTTTAGAACAAAATCAGAGTGAATAAAATTTTCTTTTCGGATGAACTAATCATTTAACAGATTATAGGAAAATATTTAAAAAAAAAAAAAAATCTATACAGAAAAAGTACATTGGTGAAATCGGTATGTGAGGGCTTATCATAATCTGCAGGGCAACCAACAAGCATGCATCATAAGGTGGCGTCATGCAAACAAGATATCAGAATCACTTTCCTTTGTTCAGAGGCTCACACAGCTTCTCTTGCTTTCTCTCCCTCTCTCTTTTTTACATCCCTGTGTCTCTCTCTGTCTTTAGTTTCAAATGAGAGACATGGACCTCTACACTGCAGCACACCGTAACTATAGCAACCTGTGAATTTCACTCACTTTCTGTATCATTTCATACCAATCACACTGGTGAAGGCAATTGATTCACATAAAGGAACCATATATAGAGCCTGCTCAACTGGACAGTGTACAGAAAGAAAGCTTTTAGAGTACTGGATTCAACAAATTTGACTTTAACAATAATTTGTGCAAAATTCAGTAATGTAAAACATCGAACGAATCCACCATTCAAATCGGACACTTTACAACCGTTTTTATTGCATTCTGCCATTGTGGTTTTCAGCTAAAATTTTTCTCAGTGGCAGAGTATATTTTAAATATCATCTGCATACAAATTATGTTTTTGCATTTTGCATGCATGAACCCCCCTCCCCTCAAATCACTGACAAAAAAAAAAAAAAAAAAAAGGCGTTCAATTCCAGCGGTGACGTTATCATACTCACAGTAAACATGAGCTGACAGCCACCCAGAATGTAGTCCAGGAAGGAATAGTCTCTGGTAATCTAACAAAGAAACGACACAGCAAAATGTTTTATATTCACATATACAGATCACGTCACCACTCTTTCACATTCCCTCAAGCTAAAGGTTGTAAAATGGTTGTTAATGTGAGTTCAAAAGGAGATTTAGGGAGAATAACTGAGTCATGTTCTGTTTTGATGCCTGAATCCATCAGTAGAGGAGATTAAATGGTGACGGTGCAAGAGTGACAGGTGTTTTGTGCTGATATTAATACATGTTATTTAAAGGGGATTTAGGACTATTAACCTAATCTGTCCTTACAGCGAAGTCACAATTAAATGCCTTAAATTCGTAATATAAATTTAATTAAATAAGACGGAACATGGAAAGTGCATTAATGTGCAAGCAGAATGTATTTAATGCTGCATTTTTGCTGCCTGTGAACAGCGAATGTCACCATTTTCTTTCCTTTTTTTCTTTCCTTACCTTGCATAACTTCACTATTATGACCCCAGAGTTTTTGTAGCTCTTTTTCTTCTGTTTTTTCGGATTAATGCATTCAAACTCAACCTGTGAACAGAGAGCACTGTGTTATTGTCCACTTTTATTAATTCTATTTTTATAAAAATAATTCCATTTAAAAAAAAAAATAGAAAAATATTTTAAATTAACACTGTAAAATATGATTATTTATTAATAATAATATAATTCATTTTATTCCAGCAATCTTGAATATCTGCATTTTCCTTTGCTGTGAGTTATTCATATTATATCCTGGTCTCTTGATATTAGTAGCTGCAATTCTGCTAATATAATAAATCTGCTAACTAATCAACATTCTTTATTTGAATCAATGATAACATTCTTTTAAGGTCTCTCTTAAGCAATTTCAAGGTTGAGACAGATATTTTTGTATAAAAGCTACCATACTGCCACATTGTCTATTCTGAAAAGATAATACAAGTATCAGCATCATCTGTGAATTCTAGTGTGAGCATTCAAGTGAAATGTGAACACAGAGGGGTGACAATCACTGCGGGAGCTCGATTAGTTTACAACATGGCACAAAATACATCTTATCTCCTAGCTAAGGCTGTGCAAAAGAATGTCAGTACCTGAAAGGAGTGAAAGGGTGTTTATTAGTACACTAAACTCTTTCTCCAGGAGAACATTTACACATGTTCTGCCTAAGTGTGACTGGCGACACACAATGCTTGTTCTGGTAAACAAGGTAGCGGTAAAATAAGAGCGATTTGCATCTCAAAAGAGCCAGTTACTCTCTCTGTTTCTCCCTCCCACCTCTTTTCTCCTTCTCTCTCTGTCTCTCCCTCTCTCACTCACTAATTCTCAGCTTCATTATGCCAGATAATGAGGCATAGCTAGTACTCACATAGTATTCTGGCGCAAAAGTGGCAGGCATTAGTGTGAGCCAAGCTTTACTTCACGCATTTAGTTTCTACATTCTGGAAATAATGAATCTCTACAGTGTTAATTGAAGGCAAGCCCACCTCCACTCCGTTCTGTGCTTCGCTTATCTTGTTAACGGTGGTCTGAAACTCGCCGATGAAGTCATGGCCTCCGTCGTTGTCGTAATCGTAGCACAGCACCTGTGACATCACACGTTTACTGCGAGTTGTGACACGTATGAACATGTTAAAGGAAATTGATGTTGATAAAATGTGTAGAATTCATTCTGGGTCATCAGGACGAGATGAGATATGAGCAAAAGAAAAATCAAACACATAACTGCTTAGTAGTTCTTTGAATAGGTGTAAGATGGGATAAAGTAATGATACATTTTTGTTTAGCATGAAAAAGTTTGAATCTGGACCAAATATATAGCTTAAAAAATGCTTTCTTGTTCAATAAAGTATTCATATCTTTAGTAAAAACCTTACTTTGAATGGTAGTGAAAATGCATGATTTCTGCCAAAGACAAATATAAATGCACACCTTGATGTTTCTGTCCACATCTCCATTACAAAGTGAGATTAGAGGCACTGTGAAAGGCTTCCATACAGGATCCAAAGTGTTCTTAATGACCTGAAGTCACACACACAAATGGTTATTATTCTCTTCCTTGCCTTCATTAAATAGATGAATACAGCCTGGAACACAAGCTTAACAAATGATAACACTATAAGAACAAAAGTGTTTATAAACGAGAATATCAGCAACCTCTGTTCTGTGAACCATCATCCATTTCCCATCATCCCCTTGTTTGTGGAATTCTAAATAGGGATCTGATTTACCGAAAAAGTCCTGAAAAACAGCCACAAACAAAAACATCATCCTCTATCTCTGAGCGCTTTTTAAAGTGCTTGAATGGTTTTCACAACCTCTTAACTCACCTTTTTATCCAGCTTCCTCCCACACATGGTTAGGGTGATTATTCTGTTGTCTGATAACTCCTGGGCTGTTATCTAGACCAAACGGAGCATTTCATGATGCTCTAGTACAAACTCCATTAATGCATATGTCTGTTATAGTGTATTATGTGCTGTCTTACTGTGATAGCCCCCTTCCCTGCTGGCTTGCCATTAGCCAGAATCAGTGGTCGATGTAGCTTCTTATTTGACACAATCTAAAACAGAACAGATGGCCCGATAAAATGCACAAGCAGAGGCGATACAGAGAGCCAATTTATCCTAACTAAGATCATAAAAGCTTACGTTAATTACTTAAGATTATCTAATTACAGTGATGTGAAACAGCATATAACAGATTGATCTGGAAGCAGGTAAAATATGAAAGTGCTACCGTACCACACCCAGTGTGCAGGTGAACTCGCCCAGAAAGTCGTGTTCGTAAAGCTGGGTGCTGCATTTGTCCTCATCAAACATGGCAAACTTGAGCTTCTGGACCTCCTCAAAGTGGTAATCTACTTGGAATTTCACACCGAATACTGGATTCAGGTTGTTCACAGCAGTCTCTGTTCGAGCTAGCTGAAATGAGATAAAAGCAGAGGACATGTGATTATCAGGATTTACACCACTTATGGTGCAACTACATGAACTTGTATTACACTACTCTTTCAGTAGTGCAAAACAAAGATGTGGATTTAAGTTTTGCAAATAAACTGTAAACCAAAATGCTTAAAGTTAATGATAACCCAATATATTAGGCTGGCCGATTAATTTAACAATATTCTCAGGTAAGATCTCATCCTAAAATCGAAAAGTAAATAAATCTTAAAATATTTTTTGCATAAAAATAAAATATATTTTTAGGAATAAAATGATTTGTTTGGCATTGTAACACTATTTTCAAAATATATATATATTATTTTTTTTCATAAAAAATAATGACGCATTTTTTAGGAATATAATTATTTCTTTTGGCAGTGTAATACTATTTAATGAAAAAAGTTCTAATTTAAATTTTTGGTAATTATTTTTGTAATCATTTGTAATGGTTTTTGTTTGTTTTTTCATTTTGTAAAATGTAATTCTCTGTACTGACCCTCAATATATTCTCAATACTGTTTAAAGTAACAAAATATTAGTGTAATAAAAATATTTTTTAAAAATGCATAACCTCAAGGTATCAAACATTAAAGGCAGCACAACAGTATGTTGTAGTATATTGTAACGGTATAATCTTTCTATACAAAAAAAATTAGATTTAATATATTATCAATTATTACAGTAATGACAATGAGACACAATCACTACCCATTATTAATGGTGTCTAGATCATGAGAACATGAAAGAGAGCTTAGGCAGAATCTTTGTTTATTGTTTATCTGTATGTAAATCTATTCATTTAATATTAGCATTCTTAATTCCTAAACACATCATGTTCTAAGATGCATTTAACCATGCATTTTTATACTACAAACACATTCCTTTGTTTGTCCCTTGGTGTTTCCATGGTTACAGTGTGCTGTGGAAGAGTGATTTCATGCTTGCCCTACTGACCAGCAGCACTGGCCTGTGATGATTGGACCGCTGAGGGCACAGTTCTGTAGAGACTCTACAGACACACGTGCTTGCACTGCAACCTATTTTGATCCTCGGCTCATTTTTTATTCAGCGTACAAAGAGATTAAAACCTGTTTTCCTCAGATTTTGCTTCCTACATGCCAGCTATTTCAGCTTTCTAAGCTTCCAGCTTTTGCTTTTGTCCCCAAAGAGATCTCTGCCCAATTCCATCTTCTTTTCTTTCATATTTACATGTCAGTCTGCTTTCTCCAATCTATCCCTAACTAGCGTCAGATTTTATTAAAGGTTAACCTATGTTATCCACAATAACTCCACTAATCTGTGAAGGTAAAGTGGAAAGTGAACACTTTTTATCACTTCTTACCTCCACCCAGTTGCCATCCACATCATGGAAAAGAACACAGAAGGGGTCAGACTTGGATGCCACGTCGCGGTCCAGCAGGTTGGAGCCACAGACAGAGAGCTCTACCTTTGTGATGCAGTGCTGGGGCCCAATGGCAGGACCCGCATCGGGGCCTGAGGCCAGAGTATAGGCCATGGAGATGGGAGTACCTCCTCTCCCACACCCTGGGAGCAACAAAACTCTTCTCAGTATAACTTCTTATATACTCATTGCGAAGTATCATTCATTAAGTAAAAACAGAATCTAATTTAAACCTGAAATAAACAGAACATTTTAAAACAAAGACATACTATGACATAAAATTATTCATATTTTAATATTTTACTTTAATTAAATATTATTAATTTAATTATATTATACTGAGATTCTGCACTATTTCTAAGACACTCAAATAAGCACATTTATGAGCATGTAAATTGTTTTTGTTTTTTTTAATAAAAGGTCTGGTCTTCCCGCAAGGTTAAACAATTTTCAAATTCAATTTTCACTCAAACTGTTATTATGCTACTATAATTTGAATGCAAAATTGAAGCATTTCCACCAGTGGTCTCAGACGTTTGGACCCCACTGTATATCTTAATGTCTAATTCTTTTAGACAGCAATATCCCAGCAATATTAACCCTATAAAACCTACTGTATCATATTTGATACGCACATTTCTAAGGCCTCTAAATTACCAACATAACAACATTGTAAAGAAATGAACTACACATAATTGTTTGACCCTTTCTCACAAAAATAACTTGTCTGGGACTGCGATGCTTGGGTTCATGGTCCCCTGGCAAACAACTCCTCAAAAACACTAAACATGAAAACACCCTATGATTTCCACACGCATCAGTGACCGCAGACACGTGCACACAGAACACGAGCGTCACACCAGGACATGAGGAATACAGCGAGGGCTCTTGTTGCTTAGATACTGATGTACCACTGTCTCTTTCTGTGTTAATGTCACAAACCACAATTAGGCTGTGACCACCATAGACAAAGCATGATAGAAAATGACTTCACAATCACGTTACATAGAATCACAGACTAGTACATCAACGTTAGCATTACAACTTATCGTGTTAACTAGAGGAAGTCAATCGGAGTCAATCAATTTAAGAACTGTGCATCATTTCCAGTGGTACTGATGTCAACTTGTCAACATAAAAAAAACAATCTGGGTTACAGTGAGTTACTTACTGTATAATGGAAGTAAATGGGGCAAATTCATAAACATTAAAATACTGTTCCACACACGTAGTAGACACAATAACTAACAATATGTATAAATATGATTTTAGTGTGAAAAATTGCTTACTGAGCTTTTCTCTGTAAAGTTATATTCATTTTTACTTTGTCACCACGACATCACAAAGCCATAAAACTCTAAAAGTACTGTAAAAATTGTGATTTAAACTTAATAACTTAAATAATACAGAAATTTTGACAGAAGAATTAATGAATGTTTTTTATTTTTTTTATTTAGACTCATATCTCAGCTTTTAAACCCTACAAAACTGTACCCCATCCATTTACATTGCAAATGCCTCACTGTAAACTCAAAGTTTGATTTTGAGAAAATGAGGGCCAAAAAAAAAACATTTTGGACAAACTTGTTACACTATGTGACCCTGGACCACAAAACCAGTCATAAGTGTACATTTTTTGAAATTGAGATTTATACATCATCTGAAAGCAGAATAAATATACTTTCCATTGATGTGCGGTTTGTTAGGATAGGACAATATTTGGCCGAGATACAACTATTTGAAAATCTGGAATCTGAGGGTGCAAAAAAATCTAAATACTGAGAAAATCGCCTTTAAAGTTGTCCAAATTAAGTTCTTTGTAATGCATATCACTAATCAAAAATTAAGTTTTGATATATTTACAGTAAGAAATTTACAAAATATTTTCATGGAACATGATCTTTACTTAATATCCTAATGATTTTTGGCATAAAAGAAAAATCTATAATTTTGACCCATACAATGTTTTGTTGCCAATTGCTAAAAATATACCCAAGCGACTTAAGACTGGTTTTGTGGTCCAGGGTCACATATTACAACAGAAACATTTCCTGATCAGTTAGGAAATGAGACAAAAACTGACCTGAGTTTCCATCCCAAAACGGCATCTTTGTAACCTCAAGGGTTGCTTGGATTCTTAATGAACTCTGTATTTAAATTAGTATTATACAGTGCAGCGGTGTTGGTAACCATTCCCAGAATAATGACACGTTCCACTGTGATGTCATGGAAAACGGGATACACAGTATCAACATTGTGCGCTTAAATCTCACTCAAGAAAGCGCACACCCAGATGACACATGTGCAATTCATGCAATGTCAAAAAACACTCCACAAATGAGTAATCCTTCACCTAACCTTGCTTCCTAGTTTAATAATTGTTGTCTGGGAATAATGTCCATAAAATCATTCAGTGTCTTATCCCGCCCATTTGAGGTCAAAATGGCAACATGTATCCGAGATGACTTAACCTAAGTGATCATCAACTCAACACTTCATTACTTATCTCCAAGGTTCAGTGCCAGGTAGCACACAGCTAGACATTAAAGAGTGGAAAACAAGTGTAGGGCTGTAATCAAATATGAAGTAAACTGTTATGATTTTATTAACCATTTAAAATAAAGCTTTGCTAAAGCAAAATGGTAAAGAACATAGTCGTAAAAATCTGCATCCATATTTCATTGTTGTACCATGAAAAACTGCACAAACGTTGTTATATTATATTGTTATATTATATTATATTATGAGGGACAACATGGCATCCAATATTTCAACTCTTGTCTTGTTCAGGTAAGTAAATGCAGTAAGTTTCACACAGAATGCACAATACCTAAAAAATGTAATTTATAGTTCATGAAAAATATAGTTCATCATATGGACACACGTTTATTTTTGCATGTAACAGTAGGCCCAATGCTTAAAAAACGATGACTTTACTGCTCAAATAAAAAAAAAATCTATGGAATAATTAATATAAATATTTTAATAAAAAAAATATGAGCTTCACTTCCGCTTTGCCACATAGACTTCCATTGTAAGTGAATTCATGTTACAATAGAGTGTAAACTAGCAGCAAAGAGGAAGATCTGAAGTATCTGATGTCAATTCACATTCATTTGTTTACTAAAACTCTGGGTTAGCTACACTTCAAGAAAGTCAAGAAAATACATTTTGGAAAATGTCAACATTGTGGGCTCAAGAACCATTATTCAAGCATCTGTGACTTAGTGCTGCAGTTTAAGCATCACCTTTTTGCTCAAGTGTCAAACCACATCTTCACTTAAATATTACAAAGCGCCATCATCCTGTTGACTCTATGATAAGGTGTTGAGACATACAGTGTTGAAAAAAGTTTATAATGGCTAACTGTAAAACAGTATGAATGGAAGTTGTGGCAGTCTAGGTGCAGTTAAAAATTCTCCTACTGCAAAAAAATCCCCCAAAAAACAGCAAGTGGGTCAGTGAAGTGGCGTAAAGTGGCACTCTTTTTGCCTTGATCCATTAAGTTATTCAAAATTACATTAAAAATGCAATCATACAAAGAAAAGCTTGCACATATCTCTTCTATGATGAGCATGTTTTAAATTTCTGATTTAAAAGTCACATTGATTTTTTTTTTATATATATATATATATATATATATATATATATGGAGCATTAAGTCAAAAATGTCTGTTGTGTGATTTTCCAGAGATTTAAAAAAAATCTCAAAAGCTTGAAAAACAAATAAAAAAAAAAATGCTAGCATAGGATAATAGCGTTTTTATTATTATTATTTCTTTAAAACAAAGAGCCAATTAAGTTTGTTATAAAATATTAGCATTTTAAAAAATACAAATACATCATGTCTTCAAGGTACAAGTAAAGTTACACCACTAGACAGTTTTTATTAATTAAATCTATATTTTGTAGATAAATGTATAAATGTTTCCAAAACATTTATGTACCCAACAGGAATAGAGTGAATTCAGGTAAATTTGACGACTTCTTGACATTGGGATGGTCCTTTTTTACCTGAATTCATCCTTCAAAGATGACATTTCTAGGAACTTAGCACGTATGGCAACTGCATTTATAAAAGATTTCTAATTTTTGTCATCTTGGACACGATTATGACGCAATTATCTTAAGACGCTCAGAGGAGATGCTTTGGTTAACGCAGAATTGTTATATGCTTTTTTGGCTTGTCAGTTTGTTTTCCAAATCGTACACGCCGGAACTCTTTATGTTCATGTTACTTCCTTTCAGACGTTAACATGTAACAAAGCTTGCATGTTTGTGAATGGGAATGATTACTTCATGAAGTCACTCTATAACTCAATAATAACTCACCTCTCGAAGCTCTCGTGCGATACGCAGCCTACTTTTCTTCAGCGTCTTCTGTCGCTATTTCTAGTGCTGGTGGCAGCAACTCTACGTTTCAAAAAGAGTATGGGTTGTTTGAATTATCCAGCAAAAAAGGTGCCAATGTATGATATATCAGAAGGTAAACGCCTTCTAAGAAGAAAGCGCTTCGCTCTGGTTAAACCGCGTGCAGACTCGAGAGCGACAGTTGTGTAGTTTTCACAGCTCTGAACTCCGCCCGTGTCCACATCTGTCATTACCATAAGCCAGTCTCTTCTGAGCTATATGCCACCAACGGAAAGAGCGTAAAAAGAAAGCGAAGAGGAAAAGGAATGAAAGTAACACACTTGTGTTTTATATATTTGTGTCTGTCGTATCTTGGGTGTATTTTTGAACGCGCGCGCATTGTTCTGAAGAACTTGTGAGGAAAATATTTTGAAGATCATTCAATCAAACGTATGCATTGTCTACTGTTTCGTTCCATCTAATTTAAACAATTTTGATGTAAAAAGAGTAACAGACCATTTGTAGGGGGATCTTTGACAATCTTTGAGTTGATGTGCTCTTCATTGTCATCGTCGTTGACGGCTATAAACTGGGCGTATGGACGCAATGTTTTCTTTTTTCCTTCTTCTTCTTGATTATGTTGTAAATCGTGTCATCATAGCGACAGGAATGTGTTTTTTTTAATTCACGTGAACAGTATTTCCTGATGAAACATTGAAGAGAACAGCGGTCCACATCCTTACCAGATTTACCGTGTTGCTTTACTGCCATCTAGCAGAAATACTGCACCGTGCAAAGGAGCTGTTTGAAAACAGGGCCCATTTTTAAAATATTTTCCATTACAAATGACAGACTACCACAATCTACCTGCCATTTTGAAATATATTTTAATTAAATAATGATTATTATTATTATTAGTAGTAGTAGTAGTAGTATAAGACACTAAATCACTAGCCTATATCGTTATTCTATTTTAAGATGTGATTAAATAGCCGAATAACTATTGTCCAAAATATCATAAAAAATAATTTTATGATGAATGACCTTTATTTACATTTAAATTGCACATTAAAAACACAGTAGATGTATAGAATGCAAATTTATTAGTGCAGCTATCAGAGTGGATGGCTGTGCGTTTACCAGTGACACAAGCACTGGGCAATTTCAATTTACAGGTAACACAGAGTAAAGCACATAACAAAAAAAATAAATAAAATAAATAAAACAATTCATAGCTAACAGTTGAATAGATCCAAGTAAAATACAGACATAAATACGTAATTTTAAAGAGAACACAACATGGGGGTGTCCAGGGTTGATCAGTGCATGAATGCCCCTAAATGGAGGTCTGGGCTCTTATGTCAGTGCATAAGCAAAGAGCATGACTGTACTGAACTTTACAAGAGAGCTGCCTGTGCTAATTAGTTTTTTATTGTTTCTTATTCTTACAATTTAGAAAATCCACAGAAAATGTAAACCTCTTGTAAAGGTAATCCAATTGATCTTTTTTATTTTTTATGCCATAGCGTGTGTTACCTACTCTTTCTCTTTATTGACCAGAGCCTACTGTTACCATTAGATTTACATTAAATGATTCAAGTCCCTGAACACCTGGAAACTGTGTTGTTTGGTGTAATGAATTGCTCTAATGAGGTAATGTGTTCCCCGATTAAATAACTAATAGTAATAGTGTCAGGCTTGTGTTGTGTTTTGTCCCCCATGTGCTCCCTGTGTCCCAGTGTGTATGCCCATATTTGGTTAGTTTCCTGTTCCTGTCCTGATTATGTTGATTTAATTCCAGGTGTTCCCCGTTTATTTCCATTGATCCCAGGTGTGTCTAGTCATCCCCTCGTCTTGTCATATGTTTAAATAGTGTTCCCTGTTTTTAGGTCAGCGTCCGTTATTGTTTATGTCTACATGTGCTATGTGAGTTTTCCTTGTTATAATTAAAATTCTCTGAATTGTACTCCTCGTCTCCCTCCGTTCCTTGCTCCGCACTCCACTCAGTAGTGCAACCGTGACAAATAGTACTACAACAATATTATTTACAATATAAAAAAGGAAATAAAAAAAAATATAAACATAAGTGATTAAACTGATGAAAAATTCAGTCTCTGATCTTTCAGATCAGACTGGGTTCCTCCAGAGTCTGTGTTAAATGAAGAGAAGCTCTGGTTTTTATGTGCATCTCAAGCAGTTCTACTATTTGTATTAATCACAAATTTTCTGATCAAGAGTGTATGTGCTAGTCATACCTTATTACCTCAATGGAGGGGCATGATAAGGAGGCATTTGGCTATCACTGTGGCTCCTGCTGTAGTTACATTATTGGCTTCCAGGCTGCAATCATTAGTTTTAATGACATCAGCATTTTGTAATTGCACTTATAGCTAAACCTTCACAGCAAGCACTCAAGTACTTAAGTCTTTTCAGATTCGCACATAGGGGTAAAATCTCAGCCAGTGTCCATGCCAGGCTGTCACCACATCCATTCCATGACAAGCTGATGAAGACATGAAATCATAAACTAATGGCTGCTTTGCAAACACACACAAACACAGGGACCGGGACAATGCAATGTCTGGGTCCATGCATTCATCAGTCCAACTGCAGCATTAAAAGAAGTCTGAAATGTCTTATCCCACCTGATGTCCTCTATGGATGAACAGTGTTTGAGGGATGAGGCCACACCAACCAGATCTGAACTCCCAATCGAAGTCAAACTGAGAGACAAGTAGTAACACTGGTTTACAGTATGTTTTCTAAATACGTCTCTTATGCTCAACTAAGGCTGCATTTATTTAAACAAAAATACAATAAAGCATTATTATTGTGAAATATAATTACAATTTAAAATAGCTGTTTTCTATTTTAATATATTTTCAAATGCAATTTATTCCTGTGATAACAAAGCTGAATTTTCAGCAGCCATTAATCTTCAGTGTCACATTATCCTTCAGAAATCATTCTAATATGCTGATTTGGTGTTTAAGAAACATTTATTATTATTATCAATGTTGAAAACAGTTCTGTTGCTTTTTTTTTTTTGGAAACCTTAATATATACTTTTCAAGATTCTTTGATGAATAGAAATTTCACAATAACATATGAATGTTTTTACTGTCATTTTTATGCTATCAAGTTAATGCATCCTTGCTGAATAAAAGTATGAATATCTTTTTTTTTTTTTAAACATACTGACCCCAAACTTTTGAACGGTATAGTGCATGTGATGTAACAAATCCATACATTACACTTCATACAGTATATGTGGTTCTGTAATGTATTTAGTGTCTTACTGTAGTATTTTTAGTGCCTTCATGCTCATCAGACCTTCACAAAGAGCCAAGGATCCATGTGGGCCAAACTGATTCTCTGACAAACTAAATAAAAACAAAAAAAAATGTATTCCCTGTCAGTGACATCTTTTCAAAGCAATAGTTTCATCTAAAATTAATTCTGTAATTATTCACTGTGAAGACCACAATACTGTACACAGGACTTACTGAGTTCTGAAAGTTGGGGCAGTAACGGAAGGACTTGAGCTAGTTTAGCAGCACATGCCTGACCAAGCCGGTTTTTGGATAGCCTGTGAAAACAAAATGATGAAGAATGGTCAGCTACTGATTTTGCAAGTAATATCACACATTAAATAAAAGAAATTATTTACTGTAGTTTCTGAAGAACTCTGCAGTGGGATAGTGCCACCAGTAGCTTCTCTCCAGCCTGGTCAGTCACATTGTTGTATGACAGACTGCAAAAAGGTTAATCAAGGAAAATGAATAATGATGCAATGATTCAGATGATGTTACTGCAGTAACAAATCTAGGCAATAACACTACCGTGCAAAAGTATGGGGTCAGTATGTCTTTCTAATGTTTTTGAAAGAACTCTCCTACGCTCACCAAGGCTGCATTCATTTGATCAAAAATTCAGTAAAAACAGTGATATTGTAAAATATTATTACAATTTAAAATAACTGTCCTCTATGGTAATATATTAACGTGTAATTTATTTCTGTGATGACAGCTTCCACATTTCTTACAAAAAAAAAAAATCTTACTGACCCCAAACTATTTTGTATATATTAAATAAACATTGACAACTTGGCATAATATATTTCCACCATGTCTCCACTAGAGGGTATTCTATCATAAGCCTTATAAATTGTGCTCAAGCACTATTCAGGTAAGGAATACATTTATTCTCATGCTCAATGCAGTTGCCATACCTTAGTTTTACTAGTTCAGTCCACGAATTAATGTATTTCACAAGCTCATAAGAACCACCATCTCCCATTCGCCAACTTTCCAACCTGTAAACAGCATAAAAATGTTCACATATTTCCAAACCCTTAGCATGTGTGTGCATGTGCTTTTTAATGACCACAATACTTACTCAATCTCTTCCATCAGTCTAAAACCCTTAAAAGAGGTCAGAAGACAAAGTATGCCAGTGCCATTCACAAACGTCTCTGATGTCACCACTCTAATGTTGTTCAAGCTGAGGAGAATAACCAATCAAAGTAAAAATTAAATACAGGATGGGCTCTCGGGTGAGTACACCAGCTTATCGAGTGTTTGCAAAATCTACAATGAACATTTCAGCCTTAAAAGCCTTACCTGAGCCTTCTAAGTGAGGCCAAATGGCTGAAGCCTTGAGCTAGGATGGTTATACCCTCCTCATCAAGTACCACAGAGTCCAGTCTATCATTGAGAATATAGCATTGAATATAGCATATTCTGTCAATGACTGTGAATGCATTACAAACTAGCCACATTTCTTAAATTCAAGAGTGCAGTGTTTGAAAAGCTGAGACTACAACACGTTACCGTATCTCTGCCAGCAAGATGCACCTGCACCAGACCTCTGACCAGGTCACGCCCTCGAGCTGCTGTCTAACCAGAGCACTGGTACAGACTGGACAAAAAGATATCGGCCAATCAGCAATGTTGCACTCTGCTGCACTGAGAAATAATGAAGAAAATCAGACACTTACTTGATCGACTTTAGATTTGGCACAATTTGAAGTGCTCTCCCAAGTACTGCAGCTCCACGGTCACCTAAAACAAGCTGGGACAAACTGGAAAACCAAAGGCAAAGGGAAATGTTGAAACATATGGGAAGGAAAAGGTAAATAAGCTGACAGAATGAAATTACACATAATTATTCCTGGTAAGGACCACTTTTTCAGTGCAAAGTTAAACTTTACTTGGACAAAAGGATAACGAGAAAGAGTTTGGTAATGCTTCAGCAATCTTTTCCAACACATCCTCATCGGCACCTTTCAAATCAAGACTAAAAAAGTCAAAATATTCCATGTAAAAAAAAAACATTCCATGTTTTTCTCAAAAGTTAGTGTACTTGTTTACTAGTGTCAGTGAAGCACTTGAGGAAAAAAAAAAACATGAAACACATAATGAAGAAAATAAAGAGAATATCACTTGTGAGCAGACTTTTTAATCATACTTAATTTCCTATTAAGCTTTATTTTTGTCAAATTATGCAAATAGTATGAAAAAAAAGATCTGTGTGTATTTAAGATCCATAGATGCTATGGAATCAGCCCCCGCAACAAAAATAGTTGGACATTTTATCACAAAAATGTTAAAAATGTAATTCTCACCACCGCTATTTCTATCACAGAATGCTATTAAACACAATATTTTATTTGAGATGTGGAAATGACACTGTGGTAGCAAAATTACACAAATGTCCTGTGATGTATGTATGTTCACTGTTAGACATTATGTAAAAAGCATGTTTTAAAGGGGTCATATGATGCGATTTCAAGTTGTCCTTTATCTTTGGAGAGTTACAAGCTGTCCGTGAATAGATAAGATCCCTAAAGTTGCAAAGACTAAAGTCTCAAATCCAAAGAGATATTCTTTATAAAAGTTAAGACTGGTCCACGCCCTCCTAAAACGCTTCGTTCAAACACGCCCCCACATGTCTACGTCACGATGTGGGAAGATTTGCATAACGCCTCCCAAATGTTCACGCAAAGAAAGAAGGCGTAACTTTATTGTTGCTGCCACCACCATGTCGTGAAGGCGCTGTGTGTTTCGTTGCGAAAACGAAAATCAGTGTAGAGTAGGGCTTGTTGTTTGTCATTTCTCCGATCACAAATGCAGACATGGTTTTATGTTTTCGTGGCGCGATGCAACGCAATGCGTAAAAAGACAGTATAAGTCATTATAATCCGTAATTATATCCCCACTGGATGCAACAAATGCCTCGTTTATAATGGGTTTTAATGTTTTTGTCTCGTCGCTTCGGCCGGACAGGGCATCACAATATGGTAAGGGGCGTAACATTTAAGTCACACGCTTGAGGTATTCAGCCAATCATAACGCACTGGATAGCTGGCCAATCAGAGCACACCTTGCTTTTCAGACCGATGAGCTTTGTAAAAATCGACACGTTTCAGAAAGGTGGGGCATAGAGGAGAAACAATAATGTACAGTATGTGGAAAATAATGTGTGTTTTTGAACCTTAAACCGCATAAACACATTTCATTACACCAAATACACAAAATAATGTTCTTTTTAGCAGCATCATATGACCCCTTTAAAAGAATATACATACATTTAAAATAAAGATGACTATCTGTTCTTAATTATATGAAACACTTACGTATAGTTCCTGAGATTCTGTAAGAACGGAATGACCGCAGAAAAAAAATCTGCACCATTTCTGTCCATTTTGAGCTGAGAATCTGGACATAAAATGAAGTAAGCAGAATTCATACAGAAAAATAAAATATCTAATAGACCAAAATAAGCATAAACTCTCATTGACTCACCTTAAATCCTGCAAGGCATGGCATTTCTGAAAGGGAAGTGTCAGAGGAGCGAGATGCTGTCCATTTATGTCACAGTCATCAAAGCTAAAGAATGTGACAAAAGTGGTGTTGTACATCAAATACAGAGAATATCACATAAAAATAAGAGTCAATAAAAGCACAAAACCAACAACAAGCTTACAATCAAACAAAATACCAACACACTTGATGGACTTCAGAGCAGGTGAAAACTTTTCAGGATGAGCTCTGTCAGAAAGAAAAAGGTCCAAATTAGCTTTGCATATGTAATATTGTAAACTATATTTATTCACAATATTTATAGCATTCCATATTCTATGAACATAAAAAATATATAGAAACTTACACAAAAGTGGAGCTGAGACTTGAATTGCCCTCTGTAATGATGTTTATGGATGCATGGTTGACCCTGCAAATATTGGGTAAAAGATGTTTTTTTTTTTCATTTCTAGAGCAATATTTTTTTCTAAAAGTTTTACCTAATCACTTTTTACTTACATATGTCTATTTGCAAATGGTCTTAATTTAATCTTAAAGGAATAGTTCACCCAAAAATGAAAATTCTGTCATTATTTACTCACCCTCATGTCGTTCCAAACCCGCAAGACCTTCGTTCATCTTCGGAACACAAATTGAGATATTTTTGATGAAATCAGAGCTTTCTTACTCTGCATAGACAGCAATGCAACTGAACATTCCCAGGCCCTGAAAGGTTGTAAGGGCATCATTAAAATAGTCCATGTACCATCAGTGGTTCAGCCGTAATTTTATGACACTATGAGAATACTTTTTGTGCACAAAGAAAACAAAAATAACGACTTTATTCAACAGTTCTTCTCTTCCGTGTCAGCGTCCGCCACCATACACGAGAGTACCACGACGCTCAGATTTCACCAAAAATATCTCAATTGGTGTTCCGAAGATGAACGAAGGTCTTATGGGTTTGGAACGACATGAGGGTGAGTAATTAATGGCAGAATTTTCATTTTTGGGTGAACTATCCCTTTAAGATTAAATTAGGACCATTTGCAAATGGACACACGTAAATTAAAATCTGTCGTGCCATTGAACATGAATGTGTAAGTTGGGATGAAATGAGAGTAACATCGCCACATGGGAAACCATTCGGTATACAACCACAATTAAATAAAGAGACACATTTTGGTTAATTCAAGTGACTTTAAAGAACAGGTGAGATGTTAATGCTATTAATATCACTTTGTCTCGGTCATAACATTTGAAAACATTTACTGTTTTATAAACCTGTTAATACACAGCCATGAATTCATCAGTGGTCACAAGATGTGTGTCTGTTGATTGTGGGTTACTGCCTCAGAACCGCACCTGCTTTCTTTGATGTGTGGCTGCAGATTGAGGCATTTGGCAATGAGACTGACAACAGCATTTCCTGTCAGCCACGGCTCTTCAATCCTAATAAAGACATTCCAAACACATTAGTATCCTCATATTGTATGTGCTGTATAAAAGCAGCAACTAAACACAGAAAAAAATGCCATGATTACATCTGTCCTTTGTTGTTTCTTCAACTTAAGGCACTTAGGACCTTAAGATTTTTGGAAAATAAACTCATTAAAACATGTTTCCCACACTCACAAGTTTGTATACTAACAACGGTGTATAAACATGTCTTACAGGAGAATTGTCATTTTCCCCCACATATCTACCTCAGTGTAATTTCCAACAAATCTCAAATCATCTTTTTTTGTTTAACATTTTGTGGTGGAATAAATGGAATATGTATTGCTAAGGCTAATTTAATAGCTAGTATATATATATATATATATATAAAATAAACACAATTACACTTTTTACCAAATTTACCAGACCTTGATTTTTGCTTTATATTCTATATGTCTCATATTTCATATCACTGTTTTCTCAGACATGGTTTCTTTGCTAAAATCTGTTAGTCGTGATGAAAATGATGCATGAGGGATGGTCATAATTTGTGTAAAACTGATGTAAATCAATTCACATAATAAATACTGAAATGTTTATTACACACTTTGTTTAGGTTATCATTTTATTAGTTATATTATTTTTTGAAAATATTTATAATATTTTTACAGTGGAATTTTTCTATTTTTAAACTGATAGTCTAGGTCTGAGACAAGGGTACAAAACAAAAATCTATAAAGAAATACATAACATTTTTAAAATGCCAGAAGTTGAAGAAATCATCTTAAATAAACAGATGTTTTGTTCATTTCTTACCTGAAGTCTCTGTGTTGGTGACAGCTAATGAAGTGCTCAACAAAATACTCAATCTGCTCAGAACTCAGACCATTATTTCTTAATCTCGGAGGAATAGGAAAATGTGCATTAAAAATGTGCCAAATATGGCGTTTTAAAAATATCCAAGAAATGAGCATTGTTGAAACAGATACTAAGTCTGTGAGATCAATCTTTAAAAATAAACAATCTTTGTAAAATCTTACTTCACAGTTTGGATTGTGGACAGCTCAACCAGGCTGTCCAGTAAAGAGAAAAGGCCTTGACTGTGCAGTGAATTAGAAGACAATCTAAAGAATAGAGTAACAATCCAATTTTTTTACATAGTCATGAAACCTCAAACCACATTTTAAGATGTAAACAGATATGTACAGTTTGCACATCCCTGAAAACAATTACAGTACTCATTATCTCTATTAATAAGGAGATTAATCTAGAAGATATTGCAGTTTTCTGAGAGGAAAAATAAAGAATATTGAGTTTCAATATTTAAGAAATGTCCAAAATACACACATAGTAACATAACTATGCTCAAATACTCACTCTAATGTAAGTAGTCTAGGGCATCTGTTCAAAATTTCCACAAGCTTCTTCAAGTGTATCACCTCAAAACTGCACTCCCTTAGCCTGTCGTCAAGACCAACTGTAAGAGGAAGCTAACCATCAAACTACTTTCACTTTTGACTTGAGTGAATAAATCATATTATTCGTGTGACTCTCTGATTGTTTGTTTCGACTGTGATACCTCACCTGTATTCTGGGAAATTACCTAAGAGTTTTGCCATTGACATGTTCCAGCACAAACTTAATCAGAGACTGATCTTCCACTCCAAGACTAAAGATGAGAAAAGCATATACCTTCAGACTTAAACAGTCAAACAAGTAAACACACATGCAATACGTAAGCCAGTCATTGTTCATGTCAGTGAAAAGCAAGGAATGAATGGAAGTGATAGTGAGTTAGCCTTTACCTGACTTCAACAGCAACAACTTTATCAGGCATTCATTGAGTCGACCAGATGCAGTGCCCCCACTTGAGTCATTCGGTTGCCACTGAGCAGAATATTATTCCCTATAATGCACAAGGCATGATTTTCCTGATTATGCCTATATTATTTTATATATGGTACTGAAGCCATATTTCTTTATATTTTTAATATACTGCACCTACTTAAATTATGATTTTCATATAATGTGAAAATTATATGAATTTCAATATATGACAAAATCAATATATGGCCTTTGTTGTCCATCATTCTAGAACCTTAAAATAATCCCATGAGTTTAATCCTTGGATCACTCATAGTAGATCTATCCCTTTCTACATCTCCCCTGTAGGCTATTTCAGTGCTTCAGCGTGAATGAGATTCATTCGCATAGTTTTGGATTGATGACCAGGTCAATTTGTGACTCAACTTCAAAATCCACTGACTGTTTCAGGTCGAGTCTGTATATAAGAAAGAACATGGCAATATTAATTTGATGCAAACTGACATTGGTTTTACTATTGTGGAAAAAAAGTGGTACACATTGTTGTCTCGATAGAGGCACAAATTCCATGTTAAAAATGTAGATTTAAAAAGTAACATTCCTTAATAAGGTCATAATTTGGACCCTTATACAACACAAAGTCTCTCATTACATTTTCTCAGTTTTTTAAATGTTTTGTTCAACCCTGTTACCTAAACAGATCAAATAGACATTTAAACAGATCAAATAAATATGCTCTTACTCATTAAAAATTTGGTTTAAGTTAAACAGCAATGAAGCTTAACAATATTTATAAATTAACATTTGGTCTCAACAAGGTAGTTTATGTTGAGTGACAGCTACTGTAAATCTTGTGACAATTAGAAATTCTGGCAGTGTTTCTTTTTTTTATGATTTTGGACTATAGTTTTTTTTATGTGTATTTAATACTTATTTTTTGAAAATTACAAAATAAAAAAAGAGAGAGTTAAGCACCTTCTTTCAAATACTTTAAAAAATGTTCACCATTTTGACTTAAAAAAAAAAAAAACTTAATTGTGATGCTGTAACTGAAATATAAGTGTGTGATTTCTTTACAGGCTGACCGGAAGAAACCTTGAAGTTCATACTATATAAACAAAAGATAAAACATATGTAGAGCATGGGGTTAAACCACAGCTGTGCTATTGCAGAAACCTGATCCTGATATGTGGTGATAAATAGAAACACTCACAGCCAGCTGCCATATCCATAGTTGATGGTCCCTTTGAATACAGCAGACACATTTGAAGTAGAGATCCCTATTCCTTCATTCTCTTTCAGCTCACTCACTCTTTCCAATGGAAAGGTTATGGATCTCTAAGCTGTGGTTGATGTGGGAAGAAGAGTGTCATAAGATACAAGATGTAACACAGCTGTGGACCCCATAACGTAAACAAATTCAGGAGTCCCCTACTTGTGGAATCCATATTTCACCGTCCCAATGCCTATATATTGATCGCTGTCCCTCTACGCTGGGATATCTGGCATGCTGAAAAGCGACCTGTATCAGTTCAGTAGTTTTCTCATTCACTGAGGAGTCAAGGAAGGGAAATATTTATTTACTATTCCAGGGTTTCCCAAGTTCAGGGAACTGCAGGTTGATGAGAAGAAAATAATTAATTAAATCATAAAAAATATATATTTTTTTTATTGAAACAATGTTTGGGAATCCCAGCTCAAGTCTTTACTTGTAGAACTTTTATTTTTATTATAGGTTGCTTTTTATTAGTCTCCATTCCATTTGATTATTGTTTTTCATGAATCGACATTTTTTTCAGCTTGTGTGTCGTTATTTTTATGCACTTGAATATTTTTGCTACTTCCTTACTAATGGCTTAATGTCATTTGCGATCTTTTTATATTTTACAATCTTTATGTATTACATAAATATGCTATGCTTTATATGAGCTCATAAAAACGGACTAAATTTTAACTATTTTCACAAGACTAAAAATTATACCATAATTTATTCTGCATGTGAGAAGAGGGTATGGAAACAAAGTCAGGGGACAGGGGTTTTATCAGGTTAGTTTTGTCTGGTCTTTTAGCCTCTTGAAATAGTTTAAAATTAATTCTAACGTCACATTAAAATAAAATCCTCATCTTTTGCCATCAAGTTTTTCTGTGAGGCCTAGTGCAAACAGTTTTTTGTTTTTTTCTCAATTCCTTAATGTCATTTTGAGTTTAAAGTAGTCTAATGCACTTCTGCCCTAGCTCAAACTTAGCATGTTCATGAGAAAAGTAGCAATGTACGATTTGTAAAGTCCATAAACAGTTGTGAAACCTGAAAGCTCCTGTTTCTATTCATTTTATTAGCACAGAAAAAAGAGACCAGGACAATTTTTAAAACACCTTCTTTTGTGTTCCTGAGATTAAAGAAAGACTTACATATTTGACACAATATAAGGCTGAGTGATGTCAGATTTTTTGTGGGGGTGAACTGTAAATAAAAATAACTTCAATAAAAATAAAAGGTCATATTTAATGGACTGTGTATTTTTTCTAACCTCGGGCTTATTGACTACAACCTAGGCTTTTTTCTTTCTTCAGTTATATTATACCAATAATTTGCTTTTCAGATGCTTTGAATGAAATATGTTGCCAAGTAATTAACATCAAAACAAATACTTACAAGGAATGGCTGGCTAGATAGTACAGAAATCAACGAGAGCATACTTACGGACTACAGCGGCGGGATAGGTGAGCCTGCAAACAGCTCCTGTAAACCTATAGGCAGAGGGAGGATCCAGACAACAACAACTTATTTTGACCAGAGTGAGAACCAGGAGCAGCACTGCACTTCTTGGAATCTCAACAAAGTCTGAAAAAAACAAAAAAAAAACACATATGAGCCTGTCTTTTACTGTTATTAGGGCTTCTCTTTCAAAAGAGCTCGGTTTTCATTCAGCAAGTATCTGAGGAGGAGGGACAGATCCAGAGGTAGCCTCAGAGGAAGGGGGGGGTGGACAGGCCCTGTAATGTCTGATTTGCCATGTCCCTCTTCTGAAGAAGAGAGAACATGCGACTGGCCCTGGGGTCGACTAGCACATGTTGCTCAAGGTTACTGGAGGACAGTAAACGGTGCACAGGGACATTTTTTGTGTTTTTCTGAACATTCTGCTGTACAAAGACAAATAAAAGATAGTCAGAGGACAGAGTGGACAGGAGCAGGCCAAAGTCCATGTAGGTGGACCAGCTCACTGAAAAGTGCAGACAGAATACCCTTTATTTACACCACCATTCTAGAGTATTCCAGTAATTTCTGAAAATGGACAGTTATGTAGATGAATAATAGAAATCCACCGGGATATCATCACCACAGGAGTCCACAGGAAAGACTTTGGAAAGGAATATGTTGTTGACAAGCCACATAAAACATGTCTGATGCTTACCAGATGGGAGCCAACAGTCAAATGATTACATTTAGATACGCATTTTATCGGGTTGCGATGTGTTTTTGTGTAATTAAGCTATTGTATTCATCAGAATGTCCAAGTGTGACAATGCACTATTGAATAGTTAAAGAATTAAAAACACTTTATGCATCTCTGTTCTGATAGATCATGCGATCAAGTGTTCATACAGATCACAATGCAGACGCAAATTGTAACACAACTATAGAGTGCGTAAATGCAAAACAAAAACTAGCTACAATTGCATTATGTAGGTTTGTGACATCACAGAAATCTCACTGGTATGATTTCAGTTGGACTAAGGTATGCACATGACATTTTAAAATCTTAAAATTGAAAAAAGTGCATTTAAAGGAACTGGCAGCTTATAGCTCAAGATTAAAAAATGACAAATTAATAAGAAAAAACCTTAAATAAAATTAAAATGGGTGAGAAAACAAAAGCTACCCTTACAGAATTCAACTCCCATTTATATTAGACTTTAAGGAATTTTAAAGTGAAATTGAAACAAATAAAGTGTTTATTTATTTTGCCTTTCATTTCCAGGTACAAAAAGCTCATCTTAATAATGTTAATAATAAAGCTATTTAATCCATAAAATGAAATGACGGCAATGCTACAGTGTTGATAAATATCAGATTAAAAGCATATTTTTAAGTCTCTCAGAACTATTACTCTATTAATTTCTGTTCATGTCAATTGCAAGTACCAAAGTGCAGTTCCTTCATGTAAAGAAGATGCAAAATTCAAAGTGAGGTTCACTCGCCTTCTTTTCATTCAGAGGTCAACAACAAACCCTTCGGTGCTCATTGAATTGCAAATACTGCTCACAATACTTGAACTCATACCAAACCTCCTTCATAAATATTAACAATTCTCATTTTACAGGTGAAACACAATTAGAAAAGAACATGTAAGCATATTTTACTTGCATAAACACCATTAACTTCAAAGTGCCACAAATGCATTCTCCCAAGCACCCTCCATCTATTCATGCACTTAGAACAAAATCAATATATAGCCTTTGTTGTCCATCATTCTAGAACCTTAATAAGATAATCCCATGAGTTTAATCCTTGGATCACTCATAGTAGAGCACTTCAAGAAAATGAAGCCCTGTTGACAGGAGCCTATATAAGAGGATCAGGCCAGGAGACCGATATCATTGATTTCAGCCGTTGCGGTTATCTAAAGTGCCGTGCAAAAAAAATGTCCAGCAAAATTTACAACTCCATGTCCAAGAGCTTGTCTATACAGAATGCGCAACCATTGGTCACATAGTCAAAGGATTGGAAAGTGCTACCATTTCCAGGACTTGTAGCCTTCGTTTATAATGTCCAGTCTAAACTGTCAAGGTCCAATTTTGTCCGACTTTTTCTGCATCAGTTTGCAACACCCTGTGGAGCCTCAGGTATCAGAGAAGCAAAAAAGGCTTTGAAAAACACCCAGGCTGTCCATAGGATGGGTGGTCTAACTGGGGGAACAGGCACTGCCGTCATGGCCGGTTCAACAACACCGGCACCCTCCACTTCAGCAGGGGGCGGCACCTTCAAAACAAAACGAGAATAAATAAGCACATATATGCCTACACACTCCACGTATTCAAGTAAAACTAATTATTTTCTCATTTGCGTTCTTAAAAGTAAACTATGTCTCACAGGTTCTGGATGTCTATCCTCATTTTGGTTTTGTTCGTTCTGAATGACCTCTGGTGCTGGCTGATTGTGGGGCCTGGCTTGGGGTCTCCGTCTAAAAGGAAACCAGCCAGCTGTGTGTCTGAAAGAGAGAAAAAGAACCATTAGAATAGCTCCAAAAAGGCATTCAGGCCTCCATGAACTCCATTTCCATTAAAATGACAACATGCCACAAAATAGACTCTGCTCATTTATACATTACTAACTAACGAGAGGTGGCTCAGACCTTTATGGCAGGTTGGGTCAGGTTTGTAACATGGAGGAGATCAGATCATCACACTGAACACCCTCAGATCAAGCTAATGATTGCTGGAGTGCCACGCACTAGTCTGCAGAGCAGTCAAACTGCCATGTTTGCAGAGATAAAGTAGCAGACGTTAATTTTTACCAGTCTGAGAACCTCAGTTATAACAGCCGGAGATTAACAAAATGAATCCCAGAATACCCCAACTGATCTGCAGTCATATACAAGCAGATATTTTCTTTCTGATCAGAGAGAACCCTGTGTCCTTCTGCTCATTTCCGCTTGCATAAACTACTCATTCCTTTCACACTGCTCAGTAATGCATGTGAGTTTGTACGCTGACAAATGGCTCAGAGCTTGAAGTTACATAACTGAGGGTGTAACTGTTTACAGACTCCATCAAGAACCCATTTACAGATCCCACACTTGCATTCTATGTATTATAACACTCACATAGAGATACTACTCTACAATTCAGTGGCACCACAACACAAAACATACAGCGAAACCAAATAGTCTGATTTCTGAATTAATTACTTCTAAGAGGTGCTCATTTTTGTGAATCAAAGCTATACAGCACAACCAGTGTAGTCCATTTCTCAAACAAATGACTCTTATGAACTGGTTCTTGTTAGTGAATCAAAAACATACAGCTTGACTAGTGTAGTCCAATTCCCGAAAAAATGACTGCAATAAACTAGTTCTTTTTAGAGAATCACAAACCTACAGCACGACCAGTGTAATCCAAATCCCCAAAAAATGACTAAAAAATCATAATCACAAGTTTGTTTACAAAAAACATTTGGTGTTAAGTTCAAACTTACAGATACATAATAACCAGGCTGCTCATGACCAGGATGAAGCGGCTCACGCTGGAATAGAAGTACACAATGCTCAGGAAGACACCCAATCGGGATGCGGTGTACACCCAATCTAGCCAATCGCGGTTCATGTCCTCCTCGTCTTCCATCACAGGACCACCCTGTGCATTCATTCGCAGATTCTGATTGGCTCCCTCTGGGTTGATGAATGCAGGAGCTGGGGCATTCTGATTGGCTGGCAGGTCGTTGATGGGGCCTTGATTTGGTAAAGCTGCAGGTACAGCAGCTTGATGAGGGCCAACAGGGAGTGAGGAAGCAGGGGCGGCCATTGGAGTGGAGGTGGCGGCTGTTATGGCCGCGTGACTGAAAGACACATCACAGCATTAAACACAGTCAGGCGGTTCATTTGCAGAATGAACACCAGTGTAATACTCTAGTAAACCTGTACAATTAATCATAAACCAAATCATGATATTGGTTTTTAATTTAAATAACTGGAAGTGTAACTGGAATCTATAAATATTAGTACTGTAATTTTACAGTTGTTATGTACAAACAAGTTATTTTATTATATAATATTTCTTAATTACTCTTTTTTTATTTTACAGGGAAATACAAGTTTGCAATAATTAAATATTAAAATAATATGATAAGAAATACCAGTTTGCAATATCAAGCACCATAACGAGCTGTTTTGTACAGCTAAAAATAACTGGAAGCTATAAATATTAGTATCTGTAAGTTTACAGTTATTATATACAATCAAGTTATTTTATTATATAATTTTTTCCTAAATACGCTTTATTTTACAGGGAAATATTAGAATAGTAATACATTTCTTTTTCTGTTTATATTTTGTTTAGTAATAATAATACAGTTAAAACTGGCCAAATTGTAAAGCCCTACAAACAAGCATTTTAAAATCGCAATTCAATTTTTCCCCAATAATTGTGCAGCCCAATACCGTAGTATGTCTACGTAGGGTGTACTTACTATTGCATGTAGTACTGGCGGGCATACATCTGCTGCAACCACAGGAGCTGTTGTGGACTGTAAAGGGAGTACGTGGGAAAGGCTGGGTGGGCCATCGCTGCTGTTACAGGCCTGCAAACGAAGGTGAAAATGTAATTAACTAGTACAAAACACTACACAGTTTACACATTAAAGGGGTCATATGATGCGATTTCAATTTTTCCTTAACAATAATGTACAGTATGTGGAAAATAATGTGTTTTTTTAACTTTAAACCGCATAAACATTTCATTACACCAAATACACAAAATAATGTTCTTTTTAGCAGCATCATATGACCCCTTTAACATTCATACACTTTCAATACTCATTGCACTGAATTTTAATTTGAAGGGAAAAGACAGGAACTCACGTAGACGTGTTAATGCTAGTGCCAGGCCAGGCGGCATGACCTCGCTGTCTAAGGCCGTCCGTGGAGGGTACAGATGCCACGGATGGTCCTGAAGACTCTGAGCTTTGGCTAGCAGTTAGTGGGGAGGGCTGGGAACTCTGCTGCTGTGTTGATGTCACCTACACCCAAGAAAGAAACATATTTGATTTTTGAGTAAGAAAACCAGAACAGGTGCAAGAGACTATGAAACTTCATTTGAAAACTGCTTCAGTGTTTGGTTTATGCAAAAACAGATGCAGAAAGGAACAGGAAGCAAGCAGCTGTGTGGTGATATCTCCACCCAACTGAAACAAACACAGCCTTCCCTTGAGAGACAGTAGGCCTACATATCTGTACAACATACAACATATTGCAAGCTGATCAAACATACTGCCTTGAAGCTAAATTCAGGACTTGACAACTAATAAGCGGAATGTCTGTTTTGACATGTACCA